GTCTTTACTATTATAGCTTTCATGGCTGAGGTTGTTGGTATGTCTGTTGGCTCTGGGTTCCCAGTACTCAGTAGCCGAGGCTGGTTGGTAAAGTAACTCCAATTTCACTTCAAGGTACCAGTGCATCTAGTGTCTGCTTCTATCAAAGCAGCGTGCTGTCTATACTGGTTACCCCAGCAAGTGTAGGGTGTGCATAGGTAACTGTCTTGGCCGTTTTATGCCGATGTACTCCGTGTGGTGTAGACCAGGTGTGCATTGGTGGTCGATTCACATGGCTTCGCCAGTTGTGGATTAGACAGTTATCTGGCGCAAGTCTTGATCTGTCTCATTCAGATCTTGTTCGCTATCGTTGCTATAAGAGAAAATCTGTGGGTGCACATCCAGTGCATTTGCAGATTTGCGTGCTTCTCTTGCGACGGGCGTATACATGGCGTATACATGCGCATCCCCCACAATAAGAACAAGCTATCCCGCGACAAAAGCATTAGTTGTCTGATGATTGCCTTAGCATTTAGCTACGTGCATGAAACGCAGCGTTACAACGTATGTTTCTATAATTGGTGAAACCATTCTTTTTGACCTTTGTGGTACAAGGTGTGTGTGTGTGTGTGTGTGTGTGTGTGTGTGTGTGTGTGTGTGTGTGTGTGTGTGTGTGTGTGTGTGTGTGTGTGGTGTGTGGTTGCTTGTCGTTGCTCCTTAGTTGGCGAAACAAATTCGCAGACACAACGAAATTACAGACCCCAAAACCACACAGACAGGAACAAAAAAATAAGGAGCAACGACAGGCAACCACAGTCAGAGGATTGTGCCAGTTACGGCCGGATTTCATCTCCCAAGTACTGATTGCGAGATCAGGGAATTTTCCTCCGCCCCCTAGAAAGATAATAAGGGTCTGAACCGGGGCCTTGCCCCATACGGTTCAAATGGTCGTAAGACCGAGACTCTACCAACCGGTTTATGGTTGTGGTCAGGAGCACTATTTCCCATACAGTGTGTCCTCGCCTTGTCAACGCTGTCACCGTGAAAACATGTTACCTGTCAGGCAAGGCTTAGCTTGCATTACATACCATACTAGTATACTGGCTACATGTAGTGCAATTTTGCTCGCCTACTCGCCCACCGCTAGGCGCTGCATCTGCCGCTAGGGTTTATCGGGTGTTAGCGGCCGTCGTGAGTTCCCTTCGGGAACGGATACGATAATTTACTTTTTTTTTAAAACTAGTATGTCTCGAATCGCGAGTCTTATCACCATTATTTTGTTCTCTGCTGGACTGTGCACTTCAGTATAAAAATATACAAAATTACCGGCACATGTATAAGAATATGAAGCCCTGTCACATGTGCTTGTGTGGTCCACGGCATGCGGGCAAGAGGTAGAGGTACTAGGTGAAGGGACTAATGACACCCGTGGGGCATTAGACATTACACGAAATGGACAGGCCTCGCCCAGCTGAGCAGGCAGTGTGCAGGCAGTGTGCACACTAGTAGTGCATGCACTGAACACGTACGAGCTCCCACTGGCCCCAGTGTCCGAACCAGGGCTGAGCGTAGTACTAGTAGACAACTGTCAACTGTCTAGGTGAAGACTGGTTGTGTCACCAGAGAATGTGCCTGTCAAAGTTAGTTATGATCACCTCCTAGCACCTGTAAGAGGTCCCTAGCTGGCCTACAGGCCCTGGCTGTGTCATGGCGGTGTGCAGGGTGAGGGGCTAACGTGATTTTGTACTGGTATGTGCTGATACGATACTTCTCTGTTCGACACGACTTTAATATGCTCAGTATGCACAGTCATGTGTAACTACATGACGATTGTACATCTTCATGGACGACATGTCGACAGTCAGTGCCAGTACCAGTCCTGCAAATCTGCATTCGTCAGTAAAAGCACTAGGGCACGGCTGGTGACTGTCACCGAACATTACAATGCGAGCACTTCAGAAAATAATGTATCATTATGTCACCTGGTCGCCCGGCGCCCGTGACCCCTGGCTCACTCGCACCTACGGCAACACTATACAGCCAACAGTCTCTGAGTCTCTGCACATGCCTAAAACCTGCCCTTAGCTTACCAGGCTTGCAGGGACGCGTCGACGGAACGCTGTGGGACTTACGTCGCTTCGGCAGATGCCTGATGGACAG